GCTAGACGTGAAGCTTTGTTTTTTTACCGGGTGCTTCCTTACCACGTGTCATTTACCGTCGTCTGCGGTCATCCATCTTTTTTAGCTTGACAGGTGGGAAATTTGATCTTTGAGTGGCAATGTTGCATATTTCTTCTATGCAATATTTCCCGCGGTAACATGATAATTTGTAAACGCAGTCCAGCCGATTACTATTCTCAGAGTAACTTAATAAAGTATTAAGTTTATTATAATTTTTACATACCACAACGATATTATTATATTTAGAACTAAGTTATCCTTGCAATTTTCACCAAAGAATGATAAGAGAAAATTAGGCAAGGTATATCATTTAAAGATTATTTTTGACATTACTGGTGGTACGAGTTAATTTAAAATGCGCTATTCTACGGTTTATGATATTATCAAAGAATTTAACTAGATAATCATTGTTACCATATTTGGTCAATTTAATGTAATATAGCTTCCTTAAGAAATTTAATAATGCAGAACAATGAAGGTTAAACGCTTGTAAAGGTAGACAAATTCAAGTAATTCGGCGCCCTCAAGCGATGACACCTCTAATCAGAGCGCTAAACATGAGGATCACACTAGCACTGAACGCGTTTGGAAACCTGTTCAATATTTGGGTTGAGAAAGGAATATCTCATTTCATAAAAATCTGCATGAACCTTACTTCTATCATGACAGTGGCACTTTAGAGCGTAAGAACAGTTATTCTAACGGAGAAGAGAGAAATACAGATGAACTGCATACAACAGCGTTGGCTTCGACGAATGATAAGGATGAAATGGAAGGAATTATTCTATTCTCTTCATGGCACAGATGACGTATAAATGTGGAGATTAAGAGAAGGAGGTTGGCCCCATTAGAAAAACTGATTGAAGATGCAGCATCTCCTCCAGCCTCTGAGCTATTCGTTTGGGAGCTAAAACCGGCAAATGTCAACCAGGAAACCAGCTTGCAACACAGAACAACGTAGAGACAGGTCTAATTTTGGAGCAGAACATTTCTTTTTTCAATGTAATAAACAGCGCCTTATAGCAAATGTGCTAGAAAGCTGTGGATACAGCAGACATCATAAACCAGAGACGCTCTGATTATGTAAACGACACAAGATGATCATCTCAAAAAACATGTACTGCAGATTTTCAGAGCTTTATTTCGACCTGCGACAACAGATCTTTTATTATTCGCATGACTATGTGAGTTGAAGGTTTAGATATTGATCCACTTAATTAAATTTACGAAATTAAATTATAACGTTACGGTATTCAAAAGCTTTCAGAAAGCGCTTTGCATGATTAACGAAAAGTCATAATGAAACATAACATAAGAGAACTTACCAAGGACTGACTTTCAGGAACGGAATTGGCATACAAGTAAAAAATACCGTCAAAAGGAGAAAGTACTTACGACCCCATATGTCAGACAAGGCCCCTATCAACGGAGCACAAAGAAACGAAAGGATTCCCTGTAAAGGAACAACATCATAAAACGCCAGTCAAAATAAACACATTCATCTTACCCTGACCCCTAAGATTAATCCATTCATTAAAAATTTGTTCGAGGGAAACGTCTCGCTAAGCACCTAGAAAGATCAAAAATATTAAATACATTATGACAAAATCCAAATTGAAGTTCACGAACTTTCGTACAGAAACCAACAGTTGAAAACGAGCACCAAATATAATTAAAATAAACATCAAGCTTCAAGATAAAGATACGGTTATAAAAGTGAAAAAAAAGATTTAGTTAATGAAACTTAGAGAATCAACAACGGTGTTCCTTCTTCAGCACAGACTGATAATTTACAGACCAGACGCTGTAATTATGAAAAGCAAAAACAAGTAGCAAATAAAAAATTAAAGCACCACAACGAAGAAATACAGCATAAATACAAAGAGGTAAAAAAATGAAAGGCATAAGTCATGAAACAAGAAATGGGTGAAGAAATGCTAAGATAAATGCAAAAAGAATAAGTGAAAAAAAATAGACTGAGATTAAATTTAAGAAATTAAATAGAGGATGTGATATTTTAATTAGCTGAAAAATCTTTAAGATTAAATTCCTCGTTTACAGAGGATATACCGAACACTAATGAGAACTGATTCGCGTATTATGAGATCAGTGGTGATGTTCTTAAGATCTATGATCTTCACATCATTGCTAACAAGATGATTTCGATTTGTGGTAAATCCCTCGCACCGTTCAGCGGATATTCCTGTAGAGTCTCTGTGTCACTGATACACACGTATATTTTCTTAACTATGTAACAGCCTGATATGGCAATGATTTTTTGCATAATAATAAGCTGTAGAGGCTCCTTCAAAGTACTCATAAGGTAGTTTTATGCCGTTAATTGCCGTTTGCAGTTAAGTATTTATCGGGAACTGAATGTGCTTACATAGTAAAAAGGAATTCTGAGGCATTTGTCATCAAAACACGTGAATTTGTTCATCCAAAAGTAAATTAAAATTTCTGAACGATCATCTCAGATGACCCTGTACCACAGACTAGG